TCATTCTGTAGTTTTTTATAGATTTCTTCTGCTTCACTTTCAAGCAGAATTAATGAGTCTTCTGCCTTTTTCTTTTCAAAGCACAATTGATTTGTTAACTCAGTAAGATCCACAAAGCTTAGGTCCTTTTCATTTTGTTTGGAATTTTCAGGGTCAAATTCAAAAGTTGCAGCAATATCCCTTACATCAAATCTATTGGTGATTTGGCGGGATTTGAACCCGGGGCCGAAGTCCCGCACTCTAACCACTAGACCAGCTTGCTCCCCATATAGGGAAAAGCTATTACCGTAGGTCTCATGGTAAGACCTAGACCCGGGACAGATTTACTTTTTCGTCCCCAGAGGCCATAAACACCCTCCGTTCAAATTCATATACACATATACATATATTCATATGCAGTATATATGTCCGTTAGCGCAATAATTCAAGCAAAAAATAAATTATTAAATTTTGATGAAATTTGGTATTATTGGTATTAACGTCAAAGCCTACGTTTATTCGAGCGAGTTTGCGAACCAGTATGATCGATCAGGACTATGGGAACAGTGGTTCATGGGAGGTTATGATGTAAAAATTTATTTTCCGAGTTTTTAACTCTAAAAACATTTCAAAAATTCTCCAATTCTTTCCAAACTATTTTTTAGAGCATAATAAAGAAATAAATTTTATATAGCCTATTGAAGCGTTGTTGATTGCCTAAGAAACACAGAGATATAAAAAAAATTAATTTAAAATCCCCATGTTATTCTTATGGAGAATAAATAAACTTGTAGTTGTAGTTGGAGTTGTAGTTTGCTTGTTTATGGATATTGTACCGGGGGACCGAGACTTGCTCGGTTGTGGTTAATTGGGCTTAACAGTTAAAATAATATCATGATCAGACGCATTTGATTATTTACAAAAATAGTTTTATTGTTAACCAAAAACATATAATCGCTGAAATAATATAAACTGTGTAATGTGTGTCTAATATTACACCCATTTCATAGATCATAGCATTTAGATTATTTGCAGTAGGTACCTTAGACTTAAGTACCTAATAACATTTTGTTTTAATATTAACCACTGACATAACTGTACACTTATATAAACTAAACTAAAAGCTCATACTTTTTTTTCGTTTTGAATTTATAATGGGCAATAATAATGAAATGCTACGTACGATAGTGTGTTTTAAAGGCTACGGGGAGTAGAGGTCATCACCCGTGCCTCGCGGATCAAACTGGATGTTTCAAGCGACGCCATTTTCTACCTGCCAGATTTCTGGATCAGTTTGGATGTTAAAGATCAACCCTCTGACCGCGTATCAGTTCGTCACACTTTGTGAGCATTCATGACAAGTCAAACGGTTCCAATCGTGAATATCCAAAATCCGCTCAAAGCAGCGATTCGTCGACACTCCTGCTCAAGATGATCGGCCTGTTGTTCATTATTTTGCACAGCCAAAAGATCTCAAATTATTTCTCTCTTTTAATCTTTGATGCACGACATGGCCGAGGTTTTGAGACATTTGGTGAGATACGTATGAGCTGGTTGTAGACGAGGAGGTGACATTTGTTTCCTGAGGTTTTGAGACATTTGGTGAGATACGTATGAGCTGGTTGTAGACGAGGAGGTGACATTTTTTTCCTGAGGTTTTGAGACATTTGGTGAGATACGTATGAGCTGGTTGTAGACGAGGTGACATTTGTTTCCTGAGGTTTTGAGACATTTGGTGAGATATGTATGAGCTGGTTGTAGACGAGGAGGTGACATTTGGTGAGATGCGTATGAGCTGGTTGTAGACAAGGAGGTGACATTTGGTGAGATGCGTATGAGCTGGTTGTAGACGAGGAGGTGACATTTGGTGAGATACGTATGAGCTGGTTGTAGACGAGGTGACATTTGTTTCCTGAGGTTTTGAGACATTTGGTGAGATACGTATGAGCTGGTTGTAGACGAGGAGGTGACATTTGTTTCCTGAGGTTTTGAGACATTTGGTGAGATACATATGAGCTGGTTGTAGACGAGGAGGTGACATTTGTTTCCTGAGGTTTTGAGACATTTGGTGAGATACGTATGAGCTGGTTGTAGACGAGGTGACATTTGTTTCCTGAGGTTTTGAGACATTTGGTGAGATACGTATGAGCTGGTTGTAGACGAGGAGGTGACATTTGGTGAGATGCGTATGAGCTGGTTGTAGACGAGGAGGTGACATTTGTTTCCTGAGGTTTTGAGACATTTGGTGAGATACGTATGAGCTGGTTGTAGACGAGGTGACATTTGTTTCCTGAGGTTTTGAGACATTTGGTGAGATACATATGAGCTGGTTGTAGACGAGGAGACATTTGTTTCCTGAGGTTTTGAGACATTTGGTGAGATACGTATGAGCTGGTTGTAGACGAGGAGGTGACATTTGGTGAGATGCGTATGAGCTGGTTGTAGACAAGGAGGTGACATTTGGTGAGATGCGTATGAGCTGGTTGTAGACGAGGAGGTGACATTTGGTGAGATACGTATGAGCTGGTTGTAGACGAGGTGACATTTGTTTCCTGAGGTTTTGAGACATTTTGTGAGATACGTATGAGCTGGTTGTAGACGAGGAGGTGACATTTGTTTCCTGAGGTTTTGAGACATTTGGTGAGATACGTATGAGCTGGTTGTAGACGAGGAGGTGACATTTGGTGAGATGCGTATGAGCTGGTTGTAGACAAGGAGGTGACATTTGGTGAGATGCGTATGAGCTGGTTGTAGACGAGGAGGTGACATTTGGTGAGATGCGTATGAGCTGGTTGTAGACGAGGTGACATTTGTTTCCTGAGGTTTTGAGACATTTGGTGAGATACGTATGAGCTGGTTGTAGACGAGGAGGTGACATTTGTTTCCTGAGGTTTTGAGACATTTGGTGAGATACGTATGAGCTGGTTGTAGACGAGGAGGTGACATTTGGTGAGATGCGTATGAGCTGGTTGTAGACGAGGAGGTGACATTTGGTGAGATGCGTATGAGCTGGTTGTAGACGAGGAGGTGACATTTGGTGAGATACGTATGAGCTGGTTGTAGACGAGGAGGTGACATTTGGTGAGATGCGTATGAGCTGGTTGTAGACGAGGAGGTGACATTTGGTGAGATGCGTATGAGCTGGTTGTAGACGAGGAGGTGACATTTGGTGAGATACGTATGAGCTGGTTGTCTCCCTTTTGGATTATTAATATTCCCTTCGGAGGTCTTCTGCGTTTCAATCTTAATCTTGTAAATTAACCATGAAAACATTTAATAGTAATATTTATGTAAATCAAACTGAGTGTAACTTAACTATTATTTAAAACGTTTAGTACAAACTAACCAATACATACAGTTATTTTTGTTTAGGGCATAGGCGTAAATCAAAATGATGACAGTAAAAATAATCTGTATCAGCTGTTTTTGTTAACTTCAGCTATAAAGAGGTATTCACGATAACATGGGCACTTTCAAGGGCTGTAGGACGGAAACTGGATTTTTCCCAGCCTTGTGACAAACTCCAATTGATTTTTTACTGTCTAAAAATAATAGAGATCGATGCTAAAAATAGGTTGTCTTCTGTAATTTAAAATAGGCAACATCAGTCATGTAAGACGACCAAAATCTTGAAAAACAACATATCAGACATATTGTGTCCTAATATTGTGATGCAGTATTATATTCACAATAAAATGCAGTTTCTAAAATTTACATCTCAGCATGAAATAGTAAGGCCAAATAAAACCACCCCCACTGCAGCAAACCCGTGGACTAAGCTAATTTGTAATTTCCCTTTGGATTTGATTAAAGGTAACTTGTATTTTTTAGTAAAATATTAATGGCTTAGTACAGTATAAACTAAATTAATTTGCCAAGTTTGATCAAAATGTATCCATAAACCAGCAAACTACAACGGTTTACTCATTATCCATAAAAATTACACAGGAATATTAAATTTGTTTGTTTGAGATTTTCTCCATAACCATATTAACCTTACAAAACACTTCAATAAACTATGAATAAACTTAGTATTTTTTCAATCTCTATGCGAACAGAGAGAAATTGGGTAAATCAGTCATGAGCTTGGTGTCTTATCGAGACCTACAGCTAATAGCTCAAGGGAAATTTGCTAAAAGGTTGGCATATTATTTATGGACAAATAAACCACCAAGTTAGGGAAAGGTTCAAGGTAATAGTTATTTGTGCAACTAGTGAGAAAAGTGAGCAATTGACTCACTTGAGAGAAATCCTTACTCATGAGCCGTAGGCGAGTGAGGAATGGTTTCTCGAGTGAGGCAATTGTACTTTGAACTCGAGTTGCACATTATACTTTTCCTACAGTTACCATAAAACAAATAAATTGGTGAAGAAACATAACCTATTTTTACACAGAAGTGAACTCTTAATGTAACATTTAATGTGAAGTGACAAATACAACAGTACAGTACAACAGCTGACCAGCTGATTTACAGCCAGTGCTGCCAACGTATTTCGCGCGCATACGACGTTGCCTGCACGTCGTTGCTCACTATTTCGTGCACTCACGTTGCAAATCTGGAGTGAGACAAAGTAATTAGAGTGAGGCAATGTTAACATTGTCTCATTGATGAGCGAATTGGCCACTTTGCTTTCTCAAATCAGTGAGAGAACATGTACATTGTTAGGTAACTGTAGGAAAATAGTATACCATAGTACAAAATCGACAATGATCATAATACCTAGACTGTAAAATCATGGAAGCAAGTCCCTGTAAAATGAAATGTTAAATTTCCATTTTAATAATGCATTGATTCTATTATGGCATGAATCACACGCGTATACCTACCACGAAGGACACCAATATTTCGCATCATTGATTTGATTGAATGAATAGGAAGTTGATTGTTGCAATGTCGTCATCTTGCAACAATCTCTGTACAGTGCTGCGCTCTCGTCACGGTGGCGTCAGCTTTAACTACAACTACAACACAGGAAACTTCATTCTTCTTCTCTTCACTCTAGCAGAAGCGTCAGGTAATCATAACAACGGAGAGTAGAGTAGTGAGTAGTGAGCGGACAGCGGAGACGATGTGTTTAGTTTGTGCAGTTTGAAAACAGAAATGGCTGTGACCGGCGAGCAGATGAGAATTTCGCAAATCGGGCTTGTCGCCCGTAGCCCAGAGGGACATGCAGCTAAAGGTATGGCTATAAAAGGACACGAAGACCTCTGGGTTGAAATACAAGCAAACACTTTTCGCAATTGGGTAAATGAACACTTGCGAAGTGTCGGTATGGAAGTGCGCGATTTAGCCAGCGATTTTTGTGATGGTACTCGGCTTTGTGCTCTAGTTGAGGTGCTTCAGAAACGAAAATTACGTCCAAGTTGGATAAAAAAGCCGGCAAACCAACATCAGTACCTGGAAAATGTGACGGCAGCACTCACAGCTGTTGGAGAGGACGGGATAAAACTTGTCAACATTGGTAAGTGCGTTTGTTTACTTTTGTTAACAATTTTCATCTTTTGGGCTAGTGTATGCTTTGTAAGACAATTTATGTTGTCATACCATTTCTAAGGAGGTCAGGTTAGATTACTTTGAAGCCTATGTATAAACTAAGCCCTATTTTTTTTTACCCTTCCCGGACGGGCGAAATCGTGACGTAGAACGGTAAAAAAATTATAGGAAAAAATAAAAATTAATGTTCCTTATTTGTGTTTTGTTATACAAGTATACATAATTGTAAATTGGTTTGTTTGGACCGTTGGAAGCAAAATAAAATAAAAAATAAAATAAAATAAAATAAAATAAACACAATGGAACACTTCACACTGTCAAAATAACTTAAATTTATAGGTAGGCTACTCGTTTTTAACTATAGGTACCAATATATCCGCCACACGTCCACGGATGAGTAGAAAAGCAGGGGATATATCCGCCACCCGTCTTTGAAGATATAGACCATGACAACGTTAGGCAATAAATAAAGAAAAATATGTAAACAATGAATAAAGGCAATGTAGTGTTGAACGCGAAACGTTGATGGGGGAGCGTAGGAGGTAGGGGGTGCGCTGAAGAGGGGATGGCGCGGAGAGAGGGGGGAGTGCGGGAGAGAGCGCAGCCATGAAGAGAGCAGGCCAACAATCTCGCAATTTGTTCTTCTTCATCCATTTTATAATATCACTAAATAAGGTCAAACACAAGGGCACACTAGGAACTAGGCTCCGGCAAAAACCTGTTACATCACAGGGCACACACAGATGTTACTTCCAGTAACTTAGTGACGCGAACCACTCCCCAAGGTCGACTGAGAACTTGGAAGGGGGTAAGAGTGGACAAAGCCGATTCCGCAAAAGAGGTGTGTAAGGTAAATCAGGCGACAGCCCTGCCAATACATGCTATTGTTTTTATGACGAAAAAAGTAGTGACCCAGAGGTAACTTCCGTGATGCGCCCGATGGAAGGTTAAAAAGACCAAATTTTCCAGGGGAGAAACCTCCTCTTTTCTTAGGTGGTGTGGGACATCCCCCGGCCTCCGGTAGCCCCCCTTGACAAGGTCCTAGCCCCCTACTTCCGGTAATTAAGATACAGTTCACTCTTGGTTATTCAAACACGAGATTAATCAAAAATTTCGGTAATTCAAAATAAAAGCTCAGTCCGTAGAGAATCTCTTAATATTTTGAAGTTTTACCATGCATTTTGATACACTTGGTAGTTCGTAGTCCAAGCAGAGAGTGGGCCGATTTAAAACACACAGTAATTCAAAGATTCGTCCCCAAAGGATATTTAATAGTGATTGTAAAGTAACTTAAAAAGACCTGTAACAATAAAAACAGCAACAAAAATATGAAACGGGGGTTTCGATAATCGAGAATGTGTTCTGTTAGACTATTCAGCTGTTAAGCGGCCTACACACTACACGTGCATTGCACGCCGTGCCATTTTTTATATTGGCACGACGTGCTTTGCACGGCACATTTTGCCCACACACTTGATCTTCAGTGTAGCCTGCAACGTGCTAAATTACATCGACTGTTCGTACAAATGAAATGCAGAACACACACATGTTTTAAGAATATTGGACATGATTAATTGATTAATCATTAAAAATAGACACAAGGCAGCAGCACAAAGCCACCTTAGTGCCTAGGTTAGTCCAGACCTTGCACCTCGCTGCCGTACAGATATACGCCGGTAGGGCACTTGGTTCACAATACTGTGGAGGATGTATGCTCTTGCTCTATGATATATTATATAGAGATCTATGACTGCGTCTCGGGTCACGCATCACATACAGCGCGCGATCCATTGTAATCTCGATGGTCGTGCCAATTATCAATGATCAATTATCAATTATTTAAGGGGGGGACGCCACTATATGCGTATTTAATCTGTGTTGCAAATGGCCAATACAAAATACCGTTGATTCACTAATAAGAAAGTACTATTATAGGGTCAAACTCTGTCAAAAGTGGTTGAACTACCAGCACGTGGCACGGGGACCGCCTACACACTAGCACGTCAGAACGGCGTGCTTTGGCACGGCACGCCAAAAATCAAACTCGTCTTGATTTCCACCGTGCCATGCCAATGCACGCCGTGCTTGCACGGTGTTCACCACACACTTGCACGTTTCGTCAGTTTTTGGCACGACGTGCTTGCACGGCGTGCAATGCACGTGTAGTGTGTAGGCCGCTTTATAATGCATTGTTAATTAATCCATTCATTGATTAATCCCCTTAACTTGGTGTTCCCTTTCAGGCACCTGTTTTTACAGGCACACAGAAAATAATGGAAACTTATAGAAAACAAAACAATTTGCAATGGGTCATTGATAAGCATACAGTTTTTTTTATCATTTGCTAGGCATAGCCTACATTCCTTTTTTAACATAGAACAAATTTTTACAGTTACGCCTATATGTTATTTCCAGAAATTGAATGTGCTGCTTAAACTAATTTAAGAAAATGTATGATTATAAGATATTTCAATTGCTAGATTAACCTTGAAGTCCACTTTGTATTCTCGAACATGAGGTGCAGGGCTGCCGCCAGAACAGAGCCAAATAACACGTAATGTCACGACCAAAGTTTCACAACCATCGCGCGTTTTTTTCACGACCAATCCAGCCATATTGATTATACTGTGTTTGGTCGTGACAATAACTTAAATATCATTGTAAATTGAATCATTTAGTCCAATTGAAACACATATTTTTATTATAACTAACAGTATATATGAAGGATTGTTTAGAAAGATTTAGATTATTCCAGACAATTCACGACCGTACCGCTTGTCCCTGACCATCTTGTTTAAATGGTAAATTTAAAAAATTAAAATATCATCATATTTCAATGTTTTATACACAAAAGAAGCACACCTCTATAAAAACATAAAGATTTTTCGGGTCTCAGGTAAGTTTTTTCGGAGTTATACAAACTTAAAAAGATTTTATTGGTTTTTTTTTTATGTTTTGAGTTTTTTTTTCTAGAAAGACCAAATAACCAAAAGCTTAGTGAGCTGTTTATTGTATAATGGCCCTAAAAGTAAACTAATTTATAGCAAAACATAGGCTAGTTATAAAAATAATATTAGGCCTAACTATTTTTAATATTCAGTTTTATGTCTGTGATGGTCGTGACAAAATTTTGTGTTTTTCCATCAAAGATGCTCTATTAATAAAAAATCACCAAAGATATTGTGTTGACATTTTATGAAACTTCAATTGTTAATGAAAAAAAAAAAATAAAAGTTTAAAAATTGGAACAAAAAATTTTTAAAGAGCTTTTCCTGAAAACGTACACGTTTCAAAATTTTCACTCCAAAAGGCTTCTGAACAGTCTCAAAATCAAACTGACATCTGTCTGGTTACTAACACTAGTCTAGGAGTAGTAAAAAACTCACACACTGAATTACAGTAGGTGCTTAGCTTTGGACCAAAACATTGAACACCCTCTTAACTTATGTGTAGCCTTGGTAAGTTGTGTAGGTCTACCCAAGATTGGTACTGTTCACTTTTATGTTAATAAATTTTACTCGGGTAGATGAGGTCACTATTCAATGAATTGAATGTATTTTATTATCTTTGTCCAGGCTTTCAGTTGAACATTGATTGCAAGGATACTGGCTGTTGAATGTTTTGATTTTGTATAAGAAGCCTAATGTACTGCACTTATGCCAGGGTGGAAAAGCTGGCTAGGCCTAACATGGAAACGCCACAACCATTAATTTTAGTTAATTGACATTAAACATTTCAACTGGCACTTTTACGAATGTTTTAATTCACAGTGGTTTTAAATAATGATATTTAACTTAGTACAGTTCTGTTATTACATGTATTAGTAGTAGTAGTAATCCCACTCACAGCTACTGCTCAGATCTTGAGCCCAACTCCAAAAAATTATTGCAGAAAATAGAAAGAACAATAGGTTTAAGACAAATAGTACCATACCAATAATGGAAGCCACCCCAGAGTCCATGCCTCCTCCACCACCACCATCACCTTCATCATCATCATCATCATCACTAGCGTCAGATCCATCAGTTGGTGCTGCTGTAGCTTTAGGTTTAGAAGGTTTCGGCTTAGGTTTTTTGAGAGGCGACTTTTCATCTTCTTCCTTTTCCTCTTCACCAGCTTGACGTTTCACAATGTCACTCAAGCCTAAGAGCTTTAACATTTTAGTAAATCTCTTTTCTTGTGCATCTAAGGATGAATTTCTAGAATGGTTTTCAAATGAATTAAACTTTGACTGTTTAGACAAATCCAAGTGATTATTTACAGTTTTTTGCTCAGTACTTGATTCTGTTGAATTACAACAGCTAAAGTTTCCTTTGCTTTTGTTTTTCAAAGAACACTCATTGAAATATTTTAAGAAGCAGCTTTGATTTGGAAATTCATTAAGAACTTTGTTGTATTCGTCTACAAAATTTAATGATCCTATCACTTCCTCTTCAGCTCCCAAATCATAAAATGAATCTATTTGCCTTCTCGTTCTGTTTGTGTGCTTGGCTGTGTTGTTGGCTTCTCCTCCACCGACCTTTTGTATCCTTGCGAGCCACAAAGATGCTGGACATTTCCCCTTATGACAAACCGTCTTTTTCGCTGATGATTCGCCCACAAAAGACAAAACACTGAGCACAATCCAAAATGCGGTGAATAGAATTAAAAGTAACAAAGCTATAAACGCGCAACCTCTGCTTTCACAGTAGGCAGAACTGAATGCTGAAGCTCCAATGACGAGCAATCCAGCCACAAAAGCCAGAACAAATATGATGCTGTAACCAAAGGAACCTCCACCTCCACCGAAGACTGTTTGAAACAGGGATGACTCAAATAAATTGGCTACAAATACAACAGCCCCCAAAGTAAGAAAAACAGAAGCCAAGACGGTCACACCAACTTGTAATGTTAAAAGTCCACAGCATGTTGTGAAACCCATTTAAAAGTCTCTAGTTAATCTCTGTTATATTTCTGTTTGGTTATATA